AGGGAGCGGGTCACCCTGAAGAGGGAGGCCGGGCGGTTATCTGATGACGCAATGAGGGTGGAGTAGTAATTAGATCTCGCCACTCTCATTGCCACAAGGTAGGATCTAACATGTATCCTTACCTGTGTTCGGTCGGATTCGGTTCGGGTAGCCCTCCAACTGCTCTCTAGGCGTCTTTTCCGGCGTTTCATCTCTCTCATGCTGGCAGCAAAACAACAAAGGGTCAATTCTTAGATTCCCTAAGACCAATAATGTATCTTAATAGAAATATGGAGAGAAAATTATTGGTATCAGAATCTGTTTGAAAGAAGATTTATTTCAGAAATGTTCCCTAAATCTGCAATCCCCTGCTAGACCAGCTACTAGAGGGGGCTGTAAAGCTGTTATAGGATGACTCTTATCCAGTTACTTTGGTTGGTTAGAAATCTATATTTGAAAAACACCGTGGCCTATCTAACTGATTTTTACAACAAAAAGAATTAGTGCAGCTTCGAATAATGCTGTGAAGTTTTCCTAAAAAGAAAGCCCGTGGCTTTACTTTCATGCAGTTCTTTTTGTTTCAAGTGCATTCTATTTCTGAATGATTTATGTATGCCATTTTAAAATGGCTGGTTTAAGTATAACCATTTAAAATTTTTAAAACTGTGAACTACAATTACCCACGTTACAAAGAAATTGGCTCTTATCCAGGTGAAACTGGTCCGGTACCTCACTGGCATCAAACAAACTCCATGAAACAGGGCATTAGGTACATCTGATTCTGTCATGTATTAGACAGAAGTTCTCCAATCATATTTTTATTTATGTAACGTATTTCAAAGCTGTCAACATTGAAATGTCTTTTTATTAGGTATATAAATCATATTTTTATCTTACATGATATTCATTACTAAGGCATACATATACATGTATGGAGAGGAGGTCCACAACTATATATAACTTTGCCTAGACAGTGGGTGCTTAATTTAATTGGCCTGCTATATCAGAAAGTTACGTGTGGTGTCATCACCATATAGGCTCCATGCTGTCAGGATTTCCAGCTCTAATTAAAAAAAAATGCTTTGAGAGTTTTCCAGAAGGGTTGGGGCTAAACTCACCTCTGATTAACTGATTGGCAACATTAGCATGATGAAGATCTATCAAGTCTAAGTGCTATTGCTATTGCTAATAAGTAATCAGAAAAGATTGAAGACCAGAACATTAATGAATCTGTACAAACAGTAGGAATCAACAGGATATTTTTTAGAGATGTGCAAAACATTCTGTGTACAAGTTGTTCCATGTTTCTCTGCACAGCTCATTTTGGGTGGCATCCTGCAGAACTGAAACTCCCATTTCAAAAGTTTTCTTCCATTCACAGAACAGAATTGGACAATTTTGCCCTGGGCATGAACTGAAATACACTTGTTTCAGGCTAACATATTGGAGTGAGGACAGGTATGGGAAAAGCCCAAAATTGCAGCAGTTGGGATGGCTTAAGGGAGGGAGGAGAAGATTAGGAAAATTGCAGGCCAGGAGAACCAGTGATTGGGAAGGTCATTTTCACAATTGCTCATGTCTTGGATGCTTCACATGGGTGTGTATGGTCTTTGGAGTTGATTTTGCTCTTAGAAATTGGATGAATGGTTGTTGTATAGCAGCAGCTGAGGGGATGAATGGAAAGGCACTTGAAAGATATTGGGCAGGCAATCCAGTGGGATATGCAGTGCTGGATATCAATGGTGGCGGCAGCAGTTGATGAGGGATGGAAACCTAACTGGGATATCAGCTGCTGGAAGCTGCAAAGGGAAGAGAGGGGCCAACTCTCACCAGCCTTGCTGTGTTCACCTGAATTGCAAAACAACAAAAGTATTCCAGGCTTTGATTAGGGTAAACCATGACTGGGCCAATAATGATTCAACATAAAAAGAAAAATACATTTTGCCCAGAACAAATGATCATATTCCCAAAGTCTCACAAAATTGTTTTAGATTAGCTACAATTTGCCAAAATGCAATCCATAATGCTTTGCTTGTTCTGTTTTTTTGCTGAAACAAGTTCCACTGGGTTGAACAAAATGGGTGCTACTTACTCCATTCTCCCATCTCTGAACAGCTCCCAGCAGGGTTTATCCTACCAACCTGTTTTCCCTCCTCCCTTCCTGGTTCTCCTCATCTCCTCAGTGATATCATTGGCCTTTTCTGGTTCTTATTCTTGCTATCTCCCAAACTCACACTTCTGCCCAGAACAACCATATTTCTTTCCGTATCTTGCAACCCCATTCCCCTCAAAACAGCTCATTGTTATTCCAGATAAAGACTAAACTATTCCAAAGATAAGTTTTATTTTGGTGACGGATCACCCAAACCCATATATTCTACACACAAAATATTTTGCACATCTCTAATTATTACTATTTCACATAATGTTTCTTTACTAATATTTTACCATTGATCTGAATTGCTATATATAGCAGCTAGACAACCTCTGACCAGTTCAGTCTTCTTTTGTCAGTATTTACTTACCTGAAGAGATATCATAGAATGACCCCCGGCAGGCAAAAAAGCAGTGAGACTGGAAATGACCCTTTGCTTGTGGGAAACTGGCAGGGGGTGTCAGAAATCATGATCACATGACATCAGCTGATTGCAATGGCACTGCAGTGGTCACAAATTTGTGAATACAACTGGTTTGAGGATCCTTGAAATTTCAATTCAGTGGAAATTAATGGGTCCTGGGTTTTCTATGCATTCTTTAAATTAGTGCACTTGAGATACCTCGATTCCAAAATTGTTTGCCTGTGTTGAATTGTTTCAGCTAATTGAAGATTACAAACAGACAAATAGAGAGGATAGTTTTAGTAGTATATAGATGAAAGAAGCATTGAGCTGGAATAACTCCCTTTTTTGTTTTAATGAAAATAGGAAGAAAAATATGGAGCCATAGCTAAAAGTTGTAAATATAAACTTTGAAGTTTTTATTTCATGTACATGGGAAATTTTATCACACAATTTACATATTTTAAAACTGTAAAATGGTTAAAATGTGTACAAAATATGCTCATTCTTTGAAAAAAGTACTAATAGCAACACTACTGGGGAGGAAAATCAAATTATTCTTCAGTTCAGTGTGCAAATGAAATATAAAAATAGAAACACTACAGCCCTACAAATAGCCTTTCCTTATAATTTATTTAAATAGAACATCTACACAAACAGGAGAGTAACTATTCCAACAGTTATGAAAAAAAAATAATTTATACAAGTTCAAGGAATAGAATACAAGATGTCAGAGAGAAAAAATCTAACACAATATAAGAAATTGTTCTCAGCACTGTTTCAATGCTGTTTTCTTACTGGGAATATGAATTTTGACTATATACAACTTGCAATATATTTTTTTTTTTTTAAAAAAAACCCTCCTTAATACTACAGTAGCTTTAAATTTTGTTAGATATTTAAACTCTGCTTGATCCAAAGATTTTTTTTTTTCATTTTTCAGTCAAACAACAATGAGGTAATATTTGTATATAAAAAAATTCGCCTTTGACATTCTTTGTTTTCTAGGAACAGAGTTGTAGAGAAAGTGAAGCTAGTCTTATACTACAAGCAGTCTTCAAATGATGTTCCAGACATTCCCCCCCACCCCCCATGCAATGTGTCTTCTGCAGTCCACACTGGTGAAAAAAATTGGGTATTCTGTTGGAATGAAATGATGCCCTTAGTCCTCGGCATCCTTCAGATTTTTTCTTTTTTATTTGGCATACTGACCAATAGGAATGTACCATAATCTTACCCAGAAGTATTACAAAGGTGATAAGGCCAACACATGAATACCTCCTGTGCAAATAACATAGGTCAAAGGATTGTGGCCTATGGTAATTTGAAGCTATTTCTTTTCTTTTTTTCTTCTTGACTGACAGGGACAGTCAACATGTATACATTTTCTGCTTTGGCAATACAACAATAAGTAACCTGCTTGGTTACTTTGTCAGCTGTTTTGCACAGAGGAAGAAAACACACTGAGAACAATTCCTACCCTATTGTTCCACATTGCTTAGGGGAAACTTACTCTTTGCAATCTAAAATAGTCTTACAAGTAACTATCAAAATTCATTTAGAACAATAAATAACCTTTATTTACAATCTTTCTGTCATAGAAAACATGTAGCAAAATGGATAGTCTTGACGCATTGTTTCCGTTTCAATCTATTAGTCCTTTGCTTTTCAGAACAGGCAGGATAGGTAAAAAATAAATATTTTACATTTTATTTTATCTACAGATATCTTCCACAAAAATCATTTTTGGAAACATTTTTTTAAACTCGCCCTTGCATTTTGTAGAACAGAATTCTGTATGTAACTGTATTCACTCATTGTGCTTTTGAAACTTTCATAAAAATGTTTAAAATGTTACTGAAGGCCACCACAAGTGCTAAATTGAGATGAAAGTGCTCTTTGACACTTTAATATTGTTGCTGAATCTGTATGAGAACCAGATTGTGGATGCAGCGGCACGGGAAATCTTGCTTTACCCATATGTTCCTTGCTGCCCCTTTTTCCATAAACCTGCTTCAATCAAATGTGCCAGAATAGTTGTTTCATTTGCCCCATTATAGATTTTTTTTTAAATTTGTTAATATTGCATGTGGCTAGTTAGCAAGTATAACTTGCAAGTATTTTCCTACACAATTAAGCAAAGTAGGCCCTATTTGTGGAAACAGAACTAAGGTATAATCTTAGGTGTGAGCATAAAGTGATCCATACTGCTGAATTAAGTGGGGCTTACGCCTGAGCAAATCTGCATTGTCCAGGACAGTATGTAACAATTCATCCAATTTAGCTTGATATAAACCCCAGGAAGCATAGTCCTCTTTTAGAAAGTGAGGCAAACTCAAACCTAATTCAAATCTTCTTCCCTTCCTTCTTCTATAGATGGAAACCTCTGGTTTAATTTTTAAGTAGTCCACATAAAGATACCCTTGTTGCAAAAGTGCTGATCCATTGGACCTCCAGTTAAAAAGAGGCAGTGACAATGCCCAGCTACACAAACATCTTTCTCAAAGAAATGATTATTCATTTCTGAAACGTAGGAATGTTCTTGTTTCTGAAAGACATGTTTCTTCTGTGTTAACAGAGGTCAGATGGGAAGATTTGCAAATTTCTCTCTCTCAAAAGCATTCCCTTGAAACAGGTCATGTAGTCAGAGTCTCATGAAGGCAGGAAGAGAGGAATGAGCAAAAACAAAACAAAACACAACAAATGGTCCCCCAAGGTTCCTAGAAATTTTACAGTTCAGAAGGTGCAATACCAGCATTTTGAATTTCTATAATTAATTGCCTTCCAATCATTAATCTGCAAAAAAAAGAGACAAAAACATTGATTGTAATTAAGCAACTACAGTTAGAGGTAGATTTCTAAAATAGTAATCAACATACAAAATAAAGACCTAACTGCATTTGTTCTTGTACAAAAGGTGGGGGTATTTCAAAGGAAAGTATGCCAGAGTAACAAGCCTACTGCTTCTCTAATGAAGCAGTTGCCCAACTCAGACATCTGTAATTTAGATAATTATTTACGGTAATTTATCTGTATCAAAAATACCACGGTTGACATATGCTGCCTTTTCTTATCTGTCTTAATAGAAAGGAATCATGAGTGTTTTAGTGCTACAACTAGAGTTTATGATACTACTCCTAGTTACTGAGATTGAACAAAGATTCAGTTTTGTTCACTACATGCAAAATGGCAAAACTGCCTTTGCTAGAAACAGGCTAGATTCCAAGACTGTGTGATAAAAATCTGGTTTCATATAGCTTCTCAATATTTGCTCAGGAATTTTGCCCGCAGATACCATTTTGATGTTGGACTAGCACAATTAAGTGCAACTCAGTATCTTTATATCCTCTTTGAATCTGAAAACTAAGCATCATTTTCCCCAGCTAAGGTTCACTATGACTGCATGGAAGACGGGGGCTTTTTCCTCAGGTGGTCTGGCCTTTGAAGTTAAGAACAGAAGTTACATATGGCTGCTGACATTGCTAACATAGATTCCACTGAAAAACAGAATTAGCTGTCCCTAGCTGATCTATGGAGTATCTGGACTATGCACTGGACCTCCCCCCCCAAGTTCTAACAATTTTTCTTCTGTCCACTTTTCCTTTGTGGGTGAATCACCTTAAATTTAAGATCATTTCCTTATCCAGCAAATACATTGCTTGCAAATACATTTCTTATTTATATTTATTAAGTGTGATCTGATACAACTTTTTTAAAAAAAACATTGAGTTTATAAAAATATACTAAATCCTTTATGATATTAAATCTAACAAAACAAGGTTATTCATGTGTGTTCTTACCTTTACACTCATATTTTAGATCAGAGAAGAATGTCATTTCTTGAGAGAAGACAAACAACCCTAAGCGACCACCAGCATAGGTTTTGTCATAGAGGGGGCCAGAGTCAGCCATGATCTTCTTTCCTTCATACATCACCACTCTGTAAGGAAGAGCAGTGACAATTAATCTTTAGCATGAAACAACGTGCTTACACGGTAACCTTGAACGAGCCTTTTCAAAAGATGTGAATTCTTCAGCCTATATCTGTAATGCTTACCTAATGAAGCCAGTTTTTGGCCTGTGAGTGAGACGCCATCTGTAAGCAGTGAAATCTTTCCAACCTATCTGACGAGGGTCATGCCACAAGGTCTTTACCTGAAAGGTAAATGTAAAGGTGAATTGTGCATTGCAATTACATTTATATAAGCCCTAGAGATAAACCATAAGCTCTTAGCAGGTACAAAAGAGTTTTCTTAAAAAAAAAAAAAAGCTTGTTATGCTTAAAATGTTTTATTAAGATAGCTACGTCTTACACTAGTGCAGTGGTTCGCAACCTTTTTAATGCCGTGACCCCCAACCGGTCGTAAGTCGAGGACTAAACCGGTCGTAAGTCGAGGACTAAACCGGTCGTAAGTCAAGGACTTTCCCTGCCTGGGAGCGCCGCACATGCGTGGTTCCGCCCCCTGCGCTGGCCGAGGCATAGCTGGCAAGCGGCAGAGATGGAGCAGGCCGACCACCAGCTGGCCCAGCTCAAGGGAGGTAAGGCACCCGCCGGAAAAGGGGAAAAAATGGCGGACAGCCTTGCTTGGCGACCCCCGTGAAATGGTCGATCGACCCCAAATGGGGTCGCGACCCATAGGTTGAGAACCGCTGCACTAGTGTAATTTACCAAGGTTTTTGAAAAGAAAAATGAGTTCATTAATAATAGAAATGATCAATTACCTGTTCAGGAGTATTTCCAGTATGCCACAAGGCATTACGAAGGTGCATTCCAGGGCCCGTGGTGGAGTTCACTACTTTGATAGAAAGACCTGAATATCCCTGAGCTTTGGTTGGCTGTGATTCCCAATACGTTTGGGTAACTTGCTTCCACATGACCACATAAAAACGGCTGCTGGATTGATACCCAAATACAAAGCCAGCATAGTCATCATCTCTTTCCGTGTTAATGAAGAAAGTGCCACTGAAGTCAACAGCATTAAATTCATCAAAACCTGAGAAAAAGAAAATTAAGTAACTGTCAGCTTTCAGATGGATGTCAATTCATGCTTTAAAATCCATCCTTCGTAAGGTTTCCATTAACAAACCCTCCCCCCCTCTCTTTCTCAAATTAAAATTGGCCTGGGGTTTGTGTTCAAAACTTCTAATGAAAACATATAAATATATTTTCTGGATGATTGTGGTTTTCCCCTCACTATTTGCACGGTCAAAGTATTTTCATACAACGAATTGGAATTAAATGGAATTAGAACTACGGTTCATAACTGCATCTTAAATCATGATTTACATTCATTGCACTGTGAAATGCTACATCTTTTCGGCAAAAGCAAAAGTGATAGGCATACTGAACAGGGATCCAGTGTTCAGAAAGAGCTTTTGTATTCAGAAGTTCTGTTATGCAGACTTACTATCCTATTTGATAAGGCTTAAAGGAGCTTAAGCAACATTGTTGTTGTTTAATTTCCTGAAATCAATGTTTTGCCCTCTTTCCTTCAGTGCCTGTTCCAAAAACTGAGCAGTTGGAATTTTGAAGAATGCTTTATGAAAAACATTTTTTTTAAAAAAATAAAGCCTTAAAATAGTTATAAGCATGATGGTGAAGTGAAGGCATGTAAATGTGAGACTGAAGAATACCTACATCCTAATACAGTGATGGCGAACCTTTTAGAGACTGAATGCCCAAACTGCAACCCAAAACCCACTTATGCATCGTCGAGTGCTGGGTGGGTGTGGCCAACTGGGTGGGCATGGCCCATTGGGTGGGCGTGCCTGCAGTGGTAACAGCAGACTGGGTGGGACTAAAAAGTTCAATCAATCAATTCCAACTTTGCAAGATCTTTTTTTTTTCCCTGCGAAAAGTTGAAATTGACTGATTGAACCTTTTTTTTTTTTTTTGCACACGGTGGCGGAGGCCTAAAGCAAAAAGGTTTTATAAAACCCAGCTGAAGGCCTAGGACTGGGGCAACGGGACGCATGCCCACGGAGAGAGCTCTAAGTGCCGCCTCTGGCACCCGTGTGGATAGGTTCGCCACCATTGTCCTAATACAACAATATGGTATTTGTTGACCAAAAGGAGAGGATTCTCAGTGGATGCGTGTGCACATATATAAAAGATTCAAAAACTTTGATGCTCACCAATAGCAAGTCCAGGATCACAGTTGACAGTCTGAACCAGTTCTTTGCCTTTGTGACGAACAATCCAGTTGGGATCAATTTGAGATGTTCCCTTCGGATCCAAGGGAATCATCTGGAATCGACGGAAATCTGTCTCACTTATGTGAACATTCTCAGGGCAGACGTCATCAATGTCATTAACGTTATCATTGTCAAAGTCATCTTTGCATGCATCTCCACGTCCATCACCTGGCAAAAAAGAGGGGAATAAGGGGAGGAATCCAGAAAGAAAGATGTGAACATCAGAGCCAAAAATCTGGCACATCTTAGACTTTCAGTAGCAGATATATTGAGAAATTACACACATGAACAAGTTCAAGAATTAGCTAAGTGGCTGGAATTCTTAGCAGCTAAAGTAATTTTTAAATAACAGCCACTTTTAAATGTTTAAACAGGAGGGCCTGTTTAAACATGTCCTTAAAACCTGGCTGTGTTCCCTGATCCTGGGTTACCATGGGTGGTATGCCCCTTGGAAGATATTTCAATTGTTTAATTTATTGTTTTTTTCCCTCTAGACTTTGTTTCTATTGTTTTTCTTAGATGTAGAAAAATGTATGTATGCCTGTAGGTATATATGTACCGTATGCATGTACGGTATGCCACTCAGAGTCATACAAATTGGGGTAAGCTAACATTTTAATAAACAAACAAACAAAATTTAAATATTACAAGGAGTAAAAGAATGCTGCATTTGCAGAAAAGCAGCATATTCATTCATATTAATGCTTTTTAGTAAACTATATTGAAGACTGCATTACACATCTAAATGTTATGCAGTCTCTTCTAATTTGATGCAAATTATCTTTCTTACCATCCGAATCAACTTGGTCTGGGTTGGGAACCAATCTGCAATTATCTCTGTCATCAGGAACACCATCATTGTCATCATCGTGGTCACAGGCATCCCCCTTCCCATCCTTGTCATGGTCAGCTTGGTTAGCATTGGGCACGTAAGGACAGTTATCAAGATTATTCTGGTGGCCATCTTCATCAATATCCTGATTGTCATCACACTTATCCCCTATGCGATCGGAATCGGAATCCATCTGAAAGCAAAATGTAGAACGCATTAGGATAAAGATTTACAAACCCTGGAAGATAGCATCTTGAAACATGAGGCAATCCAGTAGTCTCTTTTTGGGCTGACCCTCCAATAGTCAGATTGAATCCTTCATTTCATTAGCTTGTGGAGAAGCAGCTTTTGCACCCATGGAGCTTTCACTTTAGAAATATGTATAGGAGGATACTAATGTGCACTCAAAGTTTGGAATTATTGGGAACTTTAGCTTTCTGTAGGATTCACCTTCAGTTAAAGATAACCTCTTAACACCTATCCAGTTTATTTTGGCATATTGGGAAAAGTCAAACTTTTCTATGGCTTCTAACATATTAGTGCATTTTTAAGGTTGGTAGCATATTTTTAAGGTTGGTAGCAACTGTAATGTTTCTGCTTTTCTAAAATATAATCAAACAACATTTAGAAGTTGAAGGCTATATTAAATAATCCTAAATTGTCTGGCTTTGTTCTGCTGCAAGCACAGCTGAACAACCTCAGCCTGTTCATTATGAAATAAATCATATAAAAAACAATTGGTCTTCAGCTTTAGCCACAATATAAAATAAATTCTCTGAAACAGATTTTCATCTTAAATATAGACATAATTCATTGTACTGCTTAGTGTAGTACATTATTTTGGAAACCAATAGGGTTTTGAGACTGTACATATCCTTTTAAACAGCAGAGTATAATCTGCAGGATAAATCTAGATTCCAGCTATTTATTGCAATTTGGCAAGGACTGTTTAAGCATTTCAATTATGCTACTGAGGCTATTAATCCTACAGTATTTCTTATACATGATAGGACTGTGCAGCCTTCTCCCACTGCTACTTTAGACTTGAATGAATTAAATGGGATGGGCTAGATCTCTCCATGTTTTTAGTCCTTAATCAAGTAAAATTTACTTTGAGTTTTTTTAATTAAAAAACCCATTGGTGATGTAAGTGTTCTCTACTACATTCTCCTTTAACCCTAATGAACCTTTTTAATGGGTGCATTTTTGTAAAACAAAATTTCTAGCCTCAGGGCATCATGAGTCATGATACATATACACATACAAACATTTTTTGCAGATTATATATTGTTTGACACATTAACAGTATTTGCATTGTTAAATTCCTGAAATACTTAGGTTGAAAAGCAATAATTTGGGGGAGGGGTTATTTTATTTAATCTGCATTTAATAAACTTGTAACCTCTACTTAGACCTCTCTTTTCAATTATTAGTTTTTACTATATTGCTGGCTGACGTTGTTGCAGTACAAAATATAATTTTTCACCCAAGTACAGTGCAGTGGTTAAGATGTTAGATCAGGGCTGAGGAGACCCAGGTTAAGATTTATCCTCAACCTTTCTCTAATGAATAATGGAATGTAGATTTAGTGAAAAAATGATTACCAGATGATTTTTCCCCCCTATCAGCACCATGTACTTCAATTAACAAGATTTATGTTCAGATGTTGTGTTCTGAAAATCTAATTTAAGATTTTTATTTTTAATAAAGGAGAATATTTGTAGCTCAGGGTTGACATGAGGGATCCCTGGTGCTCTCTGAGCTTGCTTGTTTTCTTGCAGACGTTTCATTACCCAAACTAGGTAACATCATCATGATGTTATCTAGTTTGGGTAATGAAACATCTGCAAGAAAACAAGCAAGCTCAGAGAGCATCAGGGATCCCTCATTTTTATTTTTAAAAGATGTTCTGTATACGTCCCAGTTAAGACCAATTGTATCCTTTCTTGATTAGTTGACATATGTTGCAAGACTGTACATGACATTCTGTAAATTAGAAGATTAAATAAATATTTGATTGCCCAAAGGCAGTTAAGCTGACCTGATCTGGATTATGTGCCAATGGACAGTTGTCACACTGATCTCCAACACCATCCAAGTCTAAATCCGTCTGATCCACATTGTACACATATTGGCAGTTGTCTCTTTCATTAAGAATGCCTAGAAATGTAGAGGAACCCATTCAGGTATCTTTAATGGTAAATACATCTAGATCATAAATTATTGCATAAAAGTAATTAAGAGAAAATGGTTCATAGAAGCCAAACTAATAGCCTATCTCTTTAGGCATCTAACACTAGTAGAACTGACATTTCAGTTAAATGTTCAACGGCAGCACATTTTCCACTGTATCTACAAACCAAATAGGATGCAGTATAAAAATAAAACCTGCTTCTATAGAAGCTGCCATATATGACATAAAAGTAAGCAGGTGAAAAACATGGGATGATATTAGAATATACAATGATAAAAGTGCCTCCAAAAATGGCAAGTGTATAATTTAGTTTCTCCTTTTTTAATTTATTTATTTGAAATGTGCACTTCATTCTGGTATGTCTAGGTCATCATTAAGAGTAGAGCTTGCTCAAGGGCAGACTCTCTTCCTTGAGATGACCTGGACAGTCGTGCCATAATAGAAGAAAAGAAGAAGTAACCAAACTTTACCATCTCCATCGATATCCACAGCACAAGCATCGCCTTCTCCGTTTTGGTCTGTGTCTATCTGAAGAGGATTGTGATTGTATGGGCAATTATCACAGCGATCACCAACATCATCCCTATCGTAGTCATACTGTTGTGGATTGTAATTGAATGGACAGTTATCCTGCAGAAGGAAAATTTAAAAGCCTTGTTAAAATATGCTCAGATATTGGCACAGGCAGTCTCATTAATAACTTATTGAGTAGATTTACTAGAGTAAGAAGAGTAGTAAAGGCATGTTGCGAGGATTATTTTTTTGCCATGTAAATGAAAGCTGAGCAGTAACAAAAGTGATATGTGATGCAGCATCCGTATTTTATTGCAAAATTGATCTTTTATCTATCTATCTATCTATCTATCTATCTATCTATCTATCTATCTATCTATCTATCTATCTATCTATCCATCTATCCATCTATCCATCTATCTATCTATCTATCTATCTATCTATCTATCTATCTATATCTATATCTATATCTATATCTATATCTATATCTATATCTATCTATCTATCTATCTATCTATCTATCTATCTATCTATCTATCTATCTATCTATCTATCTATCTATCTATCTATCTATCTATATATAGCTACAAATTAGATAACTATTTCAAATTGCTGCTGAAGACTAGCTACTTTTCAATCTTGTACCATGGATTCAATCTCCTACTCTTTATGCATTTTACATTAGTGGTGGGAAGGGACAGTATATTGCTGGGCAAACCTATGACTTGTCATTTTGCTATGAACAGAGAAGGAAATGGTTAAGATTTTTATTTCATATTTTACTTTTTCTTCCACTGATGCAGCGGGGGAAAAAATCTACTAATCCATCCCAAGATTTCACTGGATGTACGTGCAATTTTCTTTTGGTCTTTGGCTATCACTGCGATGGACATTGTCTATACTAGAGAGGAACATGAATGTTTTTTTAAATTAAACTTGCCCTATCATCTGGAATCTTGTCATTGTCATCATCATCATCACAGGCATCACCAATTCCATCATCATCATAGTCTTCCTGTCCAGAATTGGGAAGATTGGGGCAATTATCCTGCAGAAAAAAATAAAGAACATTATGTTACACCTGTCTTTAATTTCACACAAAATAGTGCTCACATTACTAAAGGGCCACTGTATTTCATTTCATGACTACATTTAAGAAATATTAATTCCATTAGCTCATATTAAAATACTAACCAAACCATTTTCCCCTAGTATTAAAGGATGGAACGGCATATAACGAAGAAATAGGCTTACTTTAGTGCAGTGATAAGTAGCATTGGCAACACAGTGAAGGTTCTCATTTGGCCATCCATCTAAGTCAGTGTCTTCTCCACAGATAATCCCATTACCGGCATACCCTGGTTTACATTCACAGCGATACATCGGGTCACTGAAGTGTCCAAGGTAGATGCACTTGGCATATTTGTTGCAGGTGTGAGTTCCATCAGCACATGGGTTACGTGGCTTGCACACCTAAGGCAGAATTAAGAACACACTTACTTGCAAAGCAGTCTTTACCTCATTCTTCTTTTAATACATCAATGGAAAACCGATGCCTGACATTTCTGCTGTGTTTTAAAAGCAAGCAGCCGTTGACTGTGATTTTGTGTGAATGCTTTAAATTAGGTATATGGTTATCTTTATCATATGTTAGATACTGATTGAGGCTTCAATTCTCAATTGTCACTCTCTTTACACAAAAGTAAGGACCACCTAGTGAATTCCACCTATTGTTTGTGGCTCCCCACTTGTTTATTTTATGGGTTTCCAGCTTGATTCAAACTGAATTTCTTATATGGCACTGGGTGCTTCTGAGCAAAATCACATGGCTGAATGTAACAAAGTAAACGGTTACCTGGTATCTTCTTTAATTCTTGGGTCAGCTTAGGGCACCCTAGATTCAAAAGGGACTGAGGTTTCATAAACAGGAAATATCTCTATTTTGACAGTACCTGTTTCTTTGCCATTGCATCTTCCACACCCCGACCAAAAGGCTGTGGTCCTGTAAAGCGGGAGGGACAAGGCAGGCAGTGATAACCAGGTACAGTATTCTCACATCTGTGCACTCCACCAAGTACAAAGCAAGCATCTGGAACCTCTTGGCACTGAAATACAAAAACGTGGGAGACAATTTTGGCTATAGGTTCATTTGCAAACATCTTGAATGTTGAATATATGAATGAATGCAAATTATCTTACTTCATCAATATCTTTGCATCTAATTCCATTTCCTTGATAGCCAACAGGGCACGGACCACATTTCCAGGAACCATCAGGGAAACTAGTGCATTTAGTTCCCGCAAAACAAGGATTAGACAGGCATCCATCTAAAACGACAAGAACATTTGCTCAAATCTAGTTTTATTTTCTTGGCTGTTCTCGCCATTAGACAGAATGAGGTAGCCACCTTAAAAATACCTGATAGAGAATCAAGAGTGGCAACAAGATGATGGAAGTCATAATGCAGTTATTTTGCCAAAATGTGATTATAGTTCACATTTCTTTGTTACGAAATTTAATTTGTTGCATTCTCTACATTCTTTTCTGAAAATGACACCGCACTCTTAACATATGCTGCTTGATAGTTCACGATGAGCCATTACTCACCGATTGGGCAATCCTGCTTGTTGCACATCTGAGTGGCTGTTGCATCACCAATGCAATCCTTCCCTTCAAATTTGGGCTCTGGATTGTTGCAGAGACGGCTGCGTTTCTGAATGCCTCCGCCACACGTAATTGGACAGGCATCCCAAGGTGACCATGGCCCCCAGTTCCCATTAACTGAAAACAAAACAAAAAAAAGGAAATATTCCTGTATCTTTAAATTAAAGGGAAAAATGGTATTAGAAATTCAGGTTGATTTGGGTGGTTTTTTTTTAAAATGTTTCAGTAACTTCTGTTCTCAATCTCAGGTGATGAATGTTAAAATACTATCATGTTTCTCATACAAAACCATTTTAAACGGTGAACTTACTTGGGCAGGGGCTTTTCTGGCAAGGCATGTTTTCTCGTGCCTCTCCTTCACACGTTTTGCCTCCCATCTGAGGAAGTGGAGAATTGCACAGACGGATTCGAGTGATTAACCCAGTTCCACAAGTAACAGAGCAGGAAGACCAAGGGGACCAATGGCTCCAAGCACCGTTCTGTCTGACTGTAAGCAGTAAAATGTGGCTTAGTGAATTGCAAAATCTTGTATTAGTAGGTTAGGAAATTACCATACTGTGGGGTCCTTGGAACTCTCTGAGTTTGGTTATGCTAACGCTGATGATATTACCTAGTTGGGTAATGAAATGTCTGCAAGAAAAGAACCGAATTCAGAGAGCACCAATGAACCCACAGCTCAAACTGAGCTACAAATATTGTCTTCTATTAATTATCACACTGTGAAAATATTTAGATATTGCTGTCACTAGAATCAGAAAATAACTTTTATATGAAATATTTTTGTTTTAATCATTAACTATCAGATAAATCCTACTACAGCTGAATGTTTTACACTAATCTGAAGTAAATCAATGTTTCCTAGTATTAAGTATGGAAGGAAAGAGTAAGAATAGATAGCATCTATCTATAATGTAAAGAATTTGAATGCTCACATCTCTTATCACATTCTTGCATATTACATATCCGTGTTTGCACTGAGGAGCCTTCACAAAGATGGTTGATTCTGTCACAAGAGCGGCCTCTCTGCTGAATCCCATTGCCACAGGTTGTAGAGCAAGTGGTCCATTCAGACCAGGGAGACCAAGCATCATCGGCAGAATCGCTTGCTGAAAAAAAGAAGAAAAATAAATATAATAAACATATAATAAAATAAAAATAAATAAATAAAAAAATCACCATTTTTAAAAAAAGTTACCTCCATAGGAAGCAGAGATTGCCAAAATAATATAGGGACAGATTCTGCCCTGCAAATTTCCATTTACTCTGACCTTTGATAACTGAACTATCCAAATGACATACGAATATTTGTAAGAAATGCTCAGAACCAAATGACCAAGGTCTCATGTAACATATTTTGGAGATTTATGGGAAAGAAAATAAACACAGATATTCATGCTACCAGTTCCTGAAATCTTCCAAGGCATATGGAAAACTCTTATTAAGATTTTGCTTTTATTTTCTCAAACTATGGAACACAACTCAGAATAAACTCATGGGAGATTCACCATTCTTGGAAATTCCTATTCTGTCCTGACTGGATTTGTAACTCTTTCTTGATTTTATTGATCTTTTAATTTTTACCTAACTTGACACAAGCCATCTGCAAATAAAAAAAAGATTGCTTATTGTGTGCTTAGTTGAAATCTAATATTCATTGTTGTTGTTGTTAGTTGTGAAGTCATGTCCGACCCATCGTGACCCCATCGACAACGTTCCTCCAGGCCTTTCTGTCCTCTACCATCTTCTGGAGTCCATTTAAGTTCATGCCTACTGCTTCAGTGACTCCATCCAGCCATCTCATTCTCTGTCGTCCCCTTCTTCTATTGCCCTCAATCTTCCCCAGCATTAGGCTCTTCTCCAGTGAGTCCTTCCTTCTCATTAGGTGACCAAAGTATTTGAGTCTCAACTTCAGGATCTGGCCTTCTAAAGAGCATTCAGGGTTGATCTCCTCTAGGACTGATCGGTTTGATCGCCTTGCAGTCCAGAGAACTCGCAGGAGTCTTCTCCAGCACCATAGTTCAAAGGCCTCAATTCTTTGGCACTCAGCCTTTCTTATGGTCCAACTTTCACAGCCATACATTGCAACTGGGAAAACCATAGCCTTGACTATACGTACTTTTGTAGTGGCAATTTCAAAGATATCTATATTAGTTTCAGAATCTCAGGCTAGAATCTGTGCTTTCTCACATATACATTTCTCCAGGTAAATTATATCTTCTAGGTATGGGCATTGAAAATGCAACACCCCCCCCCAAATCCCATCAAATAAGTTAAGGCAATGTAGTTACTTACGCCAACACCTTGGGCAGCATTCACCATCAGGAACTGTGGCATTGGAACAAGGCATGAGAGGACAAGATACTTTATGGCACATTACAGCAGAATTCTAAACAGGAAAAAGAAACCCTTATATTAAAAACAAACACATAAATCTGACATTTTGTTTCCCAATGCCTTAATGCTCTACTACAACAAGTCATACTCCATTGTGCAAAGTGTTTTCCCAGCAGCTGCTTAACATTTAGAAAGGAGAGGCTATAATTAGTATGGGAGAATAGAGAGAAAATAAGCTCATCTTCCTTCCAACTGGAAGTGGTAAGGATACATTAGGAATTGACTTCAAAACAACTTATGTCATCAGGTTAGTAACCATTCCAGGCAGCAGTCATCTGCACACTTATTAAAACTGCATTCAGTTTAATGGGACTGCAAGTCAGAAATAGGCTTCAAAAGTTACAATAAGGACAGGTTTTTAGTCCCGATTCTAACTTTTGAAGTCTATTTCTGACTTTCAGTCCCATTAATAATTTTAATAAGTGTGCAGATGACTGCTGCCTGGAATCTAAACAATGGGTAATTTGGCTTTTGCTGGAGTATACAGAGGCTTTTTGAAGTCAAAGCAAACCCAGGAATCTGAAGCACTCCAATCATTGTGCAACCCTTATGTATTTTTGTATCCCTTTCTTCATTTAATCAAAAGCTACTATTAAATGGGAAAACCATATCTTGCTGAGTAGCTTTCCAGATCTTGTCTCATTAAGCTAATAAAAATTCTCAAGGTTGCCATGTTGGTTATTTGCCTGAATTTTATTTGATCATTAGAGTCATTGGTAGAACAGATTTAGGAAAGTTGGCTCCACATTCAAACAATCCATGTTGCAGCTTGATGTGTATTTTCATCTTATGCCAAAAAAACAAAACAAATGACTGTGCAAAAGAAGGAATGATAACTTTTGCCAATTCGGTTCTTTAAAGGATAACAGACAACATGTTTTGTAGCTTTAGGGGATAACACAAACAAAGACTGAATTAGATGCCAGTAGTACAAAGAAAATCACAGAAGCATTAGCCAAATGCAACTGTCTTAAGCTGTCAAAAAAGGCAGCTCTATTAGGAAGCAAGTTTAGTAGAACTTTTCTTGCTGCAAATATTCATTCACAACATATAGATGGTGGCAGGTTTAAGCTGAAAAAAATGTATTCAAACTTTCTTATGAAGACAGTAATAGATATTTGGGTCACCAATTTCTCTGCACAGGTTACATTTTGTATAATGTACCAACTAGATGCATGATAAATCCTTTACTGACAGGTTAGCTGTAAAGAATCTTACCTGGCAGGTACATGTGGTACAGGTGTCAGTGGTCCACTCAGCTGCATTTTCATACACAACATTATTGTGGAGGCATATTCCTTTCTTTATATTATGTGGGGCGATAAGTTCCTTTACATCAAACAAAAAAGGAATAGATAACAATAATAAAGATTTATAAATCAGTCTGAATCTGACAGAGCAAGACAATTGCTTTTACACTGATTACTTAGGAATAAGCGCTAAAGGCTCTGCTACCATATTAAATGCTATAGTTCTAAATACTTACACAGTATTTAAATGATATAACTAAAACAACACATTTATTTTCTCCATTTGATTGCTCACCTGTGTTAGATCATATGGAGAAGCTTCAGGGGAAGCTAGGCTATATACAGAGGCAAGTTTTAGCCAGATTTCTAGGGCCATAGTTGCTAGAGAAAGTTTAATAAAAATACTACAAATGACTATAGGTAGACCTCAATTTATGACCATAATTGAGCCTACAATTATGGTAATAATTGTGATAGTTAAGTGGGTCATCTTGTGCCCGCACTCAATTTGTTTTTTGGTGGCCGCACTCTGGGATGGTTTTTTGGTGGAAACTGGAAGTAAACGCCACTTTCCAGCAAAAAACATGATACACTGCAATCATGTGACCATATAATCATACATGCCAGCCAATTGCCACGCACCCAAAATGGGATTACATGACCACGCGGGGCCGGCCGGCCATTGGAACTTTAACTCTGAGATGCAAATGGCTTTTTCATTGTAACTTTGAATGGTTGCTGAGCAATTGATTGCAAGTACAGGACTACCTGTACCACAGGATATATCTAATTTTAGGTCAGTTGCAAAAACTATTCATATTAGACGCTGACTAAATTGGATATAATGCTATATTGGCTTTGATTTAACATAATAAGGTGAAGCTAATCATTATATTTCATTCAGCATCCTACAATACAGATCTAATCATGGCTTAAAATGTATAAACCACCTTAGGTATTGATCCTGGTGTCTAAGAAGAAATGAATAACTTTCTTCTCATGCACAAACATTGCCCAAGCTGGTCACCTAAAAATATTTCTTTCTTACAGTAAGTACTGTAGATGAATGTCTGTTTCCCATCATTTTGGAATGGAAAATAGTTAGCGTTTATGAGTCAAGGGGTCCTTAAGAGGCTTTTGATTCTTTATTGGGTACTTAGTATCCACTTACCATATGGTTGACAGATTTTTCAACTTTTGTAACCAGGGCACGCAGGCTTTGCAGTTCTATAAACATTTTGGTTAGGTCGTCACAAGAAAAGCCACAGATGTCCTTGGTTTTCTGGCCAATGTAGTTGGTGCGAATGGCTGGGCGGGAGCCATTCATGGGATTGTCTAATTTAATAAGTGTTCCAGTAGCTAAAGAAACAATTAAAACACATACAGATTATATATACTGTCAAAAGTGATAGAATTCAGCTTAAATGAATGTGACAGTTTGTAAGGCAATCTTTCCTTAAAATACAGTGGTTTGCATTTCATTTTGTGTTCCACATGTCTAAGCTCATTCATCTCACATAAACAGAATATCTTATAATCAATGGGCCAATACATTTGAAGAAAAAGGTTTCTAACGTACAGCTCTGGCAGCCTTTATTCCTCAGGATGGTTTCCAGTGTAGTTCCAAACACAAACCGCACATTCTGCAGCATTCCCTGAAAAAAATAAAGATTGAAAGAGTCTATCTCTATTGCAAAGGAAATTCTTGATGCGTGTGTGTGTGTGTGTGTGTGTTTTGATTGAGCACAACCATCAATTTATGTTTTAACTATCACATTGTTTTTGCTATAATTTATTAGCCAGCTTGGGCCCACTGTGTTAGAAAACCACTGAGCTATATTTAATTTAGGGATGTATACTTAAAGATGTTCTTGTTTTAATCTGTAATGCAAGTGTAAACTATACTGGCCAGAATTCTCATTAGTTGATAATAAGTCAGTCTTTCACTTTCTCTTCATTTCAACAATTATCAAAATTAATATCAACTATTAATTTTTAATAGAGGACCCAAATTCAATTTTAAACTTTACACCATTTAACTGTACATATTTATATTCAAAGTGTCGGTTAAATCCCCACTGCTGTGGATAGTAGTCAACAAGGAGTAGTTAGGGGCAAAAATTTCACTTCCTTGAAAGTATTTTTCAAAGTGGCAAATCAAGTTGGCTTCCTTGAAATGGACCCCTGAACCTGCAATAAAAAGGTATCTCACCTGGAAGTTGTCATTAACTCCTCCTTTAGCAATGCGGAGTCTGGCGCTGTTGGACAGATCCCGAGTGAAGATGTCTTGAATAGGAATTTCCAGCTCAACATTTGTCATTTTATCACAGCCCACATAGAGTTGAGCCTGATCCTCTTGCACAAAGAGGATGATGCTACTCCATCGTGCAATGGGCAACTTCACCTCCTCCACTGACACCAAACTTTGATTGCCTTCCTCAGGAAAGACACTCAAGTCCAATGTTTTCGCCTTGCCATTGAGCACCAACTTAAAAACGTAGCCAGAGTTGTCCTTGCGCTCCACGGCCAATATGGTGCCAGCATCCTTCTTTATCGGACGAAGATTAGCTAACAAGATGAAGCCCTTCTCAGCTTGGATGGAATAAAGAATGTCTTGGAATTTGTGATCAGAAACAGCAGGGATACGGGTGGCGTCATCTATGCGGTAGGCAGGGCTGGAAAGCTCTAGTCCTTTTACCGGATGCACCCCCAATCCTTTGTGGGCTCCCTTGCGGCCCAAGCCAATTAACTCAAAGAGATCAAAAACACTGTTGTCATCACTAGTCTCTGTCAAGGTAAGGGAGAGGAAGGGAGAGACAGAAAGAGATGGTTATGTTGGGCAGGGATAGGTCTAAACAGCTGCATTGTTGTTGTTATTGGACTCCCTCTTTTGTTGATAAGTCCCAAGAAATATATGCTGTCAAAAGTTATAGAAGAAACTATTTGGATTGTGTAGCCTTCTGGTCACACAACAGTTTCCCATCACTACAGCTTGGGTTCTGCTGCAGCAAAGCCATCGAGGCAAGCTGCAAAATACTTGGCTTCCCATACACGGTTCCCAGTTTTTCCTGGTTGGATGAGCCAAGAGGATCAAAGAAGAGCCATTGACCAAATGGCAATAGAAATCCAAGTCAAAGAATTCTTCCTGCCTTTCCCCTTGCCTCCTCCAGGGACTCTGAAGTTGCAAAGTGGAAGGCAATGCAAAGACACAAAGCGGAGGGAGACTCCGGAGTTATGATCCAAGCTGTGTGAGGGACAAACCCAAAAGAGGGAGCCCAAAGCCAGAGAGGAGGAGGATGGAAAGCCAGCTCTGCCCTTAAAGATGCAGAGCCAAACAGCAGGGGCTCAGTAAAACTTTTGGGCCAACTAGTGGGGGGGGGGGATAAATAGGGCTGCTAGCGTCTGGCTCAGCCTAGAACGGTGTTTCTCAACCTTGACAATTTTAAGGCATGTGGACTTCAACTCCCAGAATTCCACAGCCAGCAATGCTGGCTGTGGAATTCTGGGAGTTGAAGTCCACATGCCTTAAAATTGTCAAGGTTGAGAAACACTGGCCTAGAAGCAGGGCACAACGCTGGAGCAACGCCTTGGATCACTTGAAGCATCAGGGATTTGGCTTGAGGGTAACGACCCCCCCCAGCCCCCAACCCCACCCCACCCCGGCCCTCCCGCGACGGAATCGGCAGCTGGGCTTTCCCTCCCGCTACCTCTTTTATAAATAAACGTCCAGACAGAGCGATGGTGCTCCCCCCGGCCCGCCCCTTTGCTGTGTGCCTGGTCTGGCTCGGAGCGTCCCTGGCGCGGCGCCCAGACCCCAAAGCGAGGCAGATGCCAAGGCCAACAGTCCGCTCGGAGCCAGGAGCCAGAAGGCAAACGCCTCTCGCGCCCACCCTCCCTTCTCACAGATCGAGCCCCAAAAGTCGGTCGAGCCCGCCAAGCCCGGGAAAGCCGAGCGCAGAAGAGCCTCCTCTCAAGCAGGAGAAGCGGGACACTCAACTGTCCACATTGGGGGGCGCAATCCTCTAGCACAGGCAGCTTCCCACCCCCGGCTGGTCGTAGCGGCCACCCGGTTTACATCCTTTCAGAAAGAACTACTAGGGAACGGAGCCCGCCTTTTCAACCTGGCACTCCCGGCTCTGTAAAGGCACTCTCGCCTTTTGCCTTCCACCGGAGGTATAAAGTCCAGCTGGCAGGCGCCAGGTTGGAGAGAGCCGTGGTGAGTAGCGACGCTATTGCTCCGTCTTAAACAGTTTCTGCCAGCCCTACCTGGATGTAAGTTGGACTGGGGTTCTCTACAGAGTCTCTCTCTCTCTCTCTCTCTCTCTCTCTCTCTCTCTCTCTCTCTCTGTGCCTTCTCTCCCTCGAAATCTAACCCCAAATTTGACCGGAAAGTCTCCCTATTCACCCGCGACGTCTTCTCCCCCTCCGTGATCTCACACTCTTTACCTGGAATCCGGTTTGTTGTGCAGACTCCAAGCATCAGAAGGAGAAAGAGACCACCGGAGAGCTCCATGGCAGGAATCTCGCCCAAAAGGACAACCTTTAAGCAAGAAACAAACCATCACCGGTCATTCGACCGTCTCGGATTATTGCCCTCGCGCCTTCTAACCAGAAGCAGCCCTCTCCAAGAAACGCGCAAGCTAGGAGGGAGCAGGGAGATGGAGAAAGAGAGAGAGAGAGAGAGAAATCGTAACTACAGACCAAAAGGTTCGAGTGAATAAGGTAGAAGAAGGAAGGGAAAGAGAAAAGGAAGGAAGGAAGGAGGGAAAGAAGGAAAGGAAAGAATGAAAGAAGGAAAGGAAGAAAGAAAGAAAGAAAGAAAGAAAGAAAGAAAGAAAGGAAAGGAAAGGAAAAAAGGAAGGAAGGAAGGAAGGAAGGAAGGAAGGAAGGAAGGAAGGAAGGAAGGAAGGAGCGCTGTAGCTTTTTTCTATTTATCTTGACTGTCTTTTCCAGCTCCGGGTATTAAACTGAAGTCGTAAGAGGAAAATGTTTTCAGGACTTACTTTTTATAGGAGGCGGCGAAGAATCCCCAAGAATCAGATCCTCTGAGAGCAAATAGAATTCAGTACAAAAAATCCTTCTTGGAGTTCTTGGGCTCGGCGAAATTACCCCTGCGTGGGTTTAGCACCTTGATTCAGTACACGTCCGGGCGAGTAGTGTCCTTTGCGATCCTGGAGCAGTCCGAGAGCGCGAGGGATCTTTGCTGCCGGGGACTGAAACGGATCGAGAGGAGCTTGCCCCTCCCCCTGGTCTCCCCTGGTGATGGTCGCCCTTGCTCTTTGCACTGAGCGGCGGCAGGAGTTCCCTCTCCTTTAAGGAGGTCGGTTGCTCGCACCCCCGAAACTCCGCGAGCCAATCAGCAGCGGGCCGACAGGAAGCGGGCTGGAACGGATCCAATTAACTCACAACGAGGCAGAACGCAGGCATGCGCGCACCCAGCAAACCCCCCCCCCCATCACCAAAGTCCAGTCCGGGGGAAGACAGTGATACGCGGGGGCGGACAGATTAGTTCCGATCAGTGGGGCTCCCCCTCTTCTCCCCCCCCCCCCAAGGTTAGGCTGTGTTGTCCCTGAAGTTTTCCCATTGGGCAAAGGAAGGGGTATTGTCTGCATTCCAGGCAGTTGTGAATTCCTGGGTGTACAATGTGCGGGGAAATTCCTCTCAACCCCGATTCACCCAGGGAGTAAATGCGTTGTGTGGGTTCTGTGCAGCCAATGCCCGAAGGGCGGGTTCTCCATCCCAGGAGCTGCCGACGCAAGGGACGCTCTCAAGAGAGAGCAAATGTAGGCTTGCTTCTTCCAGCACCTTGCCCGTCTCTTCTCGCCTCGTCTATGCTCAGACCTGGTCCCAGCCCCAAAGTTCAGCTTTGCCTACCGTCCATCTCATGAACGTCAGTGGTCAGAGAAAGTTTGTTGACAGCCGCATGCTCCTTTGCGCGCTTCGTCCTCCTCCTTCTCTTCCTGGAGCCTGGAACCAGACACTAGTCCCGTTATCTCTGCCCAGATCCACAAAAGAGAAGGGGGAAGGGGGGGGGACAACGGTTTCTGACGCCCCCCCCCAGTTAGGAGACTCTAACTTGAAGCTGACCAGGTGTTCTCACGAGCGTGTTGTGAAACAGATTTATCAAAAGTGTCTGGAAAACCGTCTAGTTTATTTATTTATTTATTTATTTATTAATTAAAGTCATCCTGTAAGTAAGCCAAGATAGCTTGCTCTTTTCAACATTGCTTGTGGACACAACAGAGGATACTTCGCTGAGGCCCTCGAGCTACCAGGACCCCGATATTTCGAATAGCGACGGAGTTTTTTTTTAATATATATATATATAGTCACGTTTCTTTTTGACCCGGCGCGCGTTCCCTTTTGTTCTGATTGGCGCGGAAATGTCCGCTAGGGGGCGCCGGGTGAATTCTTTATCTTTGTGGGTCAAGCGAGGAAAAAAGGGTTTCCGTTCAAGATCGGCATTCCTCGGCTGGGGAGGGCGGCCGGGCGGCTGCCTGTTCCCTTTTATAGAAAATCGGGAAGAGGAACGTCAAACGTCTCCCTGTCTCCCCCCCCTCCTCCCCCCCCCACAACCTTCCCAAACAGAACGCCTTTCCCCCCGTGCGCATTTCCGTAGCACTTGCTCCTGTTTGGACGCGAGCGGGAAGAAACCACCCAGGGGAAGCTGGCTGCCCCCGTCTAGCTTCTGGGTCGGAAGGAANGGAGATTTCGCAGAGGTGCGGGGCTCGCCGATGCCTCCGCAGCTTTGCGTAGCGCAGGTTGGCGGAACCAGCTGGCCCTTCGTTGCGAGCGTGACTCCGCCAGCCTGGAATCCCATTCACGGCCTCCGCCTCTAACCTGGGACCCGGAAGCAGCCCGCCCGGGGAGGGCGGGAGGCTGACCTCAAATGTCTGGGCGAAGCTGCTCTTTGCGCTTTATTGCCTTGTGACTGTTAGGTAAACAAATAGCCAGGTAATCCCCTCCAAGCAGGAATGGAACGGGGAATACCTTCCATTGCCTGACCTGGGCTGTCCCGCTTCGAAAACGGAGCCATCCTTCCCGAGAACCAAGCAGGGGGTCCAGCTCTTAGGAAAGACCATTGTTTATTAACGCCCGAAAGCCCCGCTGGCTCATTGGAACGATTATTCGATTAATCCCACGGCGTCGAATCAAAAGTGTTCACACCAGGCGTTTCGATCAGGGACCGGAGCTTTTCTCTGGAAAACAGCGTTAGAGCCCAGGACAAATTATATTAGCCGGGGCACCTGTTAAAGTTTGGGTCTGTGTAAGTCTGCAGAAGCTATATTGCCGCTTTAGCTAGGTTGTGGGTTTTTCTTGGTTTTCATGGATGGTGTGATTCATAAGCACAAGACAGTTGGTTTGGTTTAGTGGTTAGGGCCCCAGGCTAGAAATCAGGTGATTGTGAGTTCTAGTCCCGCTTTAGACATAAATGCTGGTTAGGTGGCTTTGGGCCAGTCAGTCAGCCCAACTCACTTCAGAAGGTTGCTGTTGTGGGGAAAATTGGAGGAGGAAGAGGAATTAGGCATGTTTGCTACCTTGAGTTATTTAAAAAAGTAATAAAAGGAAGGATTATCTATCTATCTATCTATCTATCTATCTATCTATCTATCTATCTATCTATCTATCTATCTATCTATCTATCTATCTATCTATCATCACAATTAAATAGTCTATCCTAGTATAAACAAAGGGAAGCTTTCAGAGGTAATGAAGACAAATTGTTGTCTTTTTTTTTAAAGAAAGCTCCTCATCCAATATGAGGAATCGGAAAAAAAATAAATTTCTCAGAGACACCTGAATTTGGACTGAAGCCAAAGAAGCAAGATTTTCATCATTGTATTGGCACTTCACAGATTTCAAGCCTTACATTGAAGAATGAGAGTAATGGAACCTAATGCATTAGAGATTTGTAGCCTCTTAACAATACCAAGTGTTCCCCAAAGGATTATCTATAAGAGAGGCCTAAGTGGAGAAATATATTTAATCAGACTCATGATCAAGGAAATAAGTAGGTCTGATTAATTCTGACAATGGAGTTGAGTGGTGCTTGGTTTGTTTAGGGGCAGAATCAGTGGTGGGATTAAAAGAAATAGAGCTGGAAGGGACCTTGGAGGTCTTCTAGTCCAGCCCCCTGCTTAAGCAGGAGAACCTACACCATCTCAGACAGGTGATGTCTAGTATCTTCTTAAAGATCTCCAGTGATGAGATTATTCAAGTAACTTCTTCAGCTACTTCTACGTGGATAAGCAGCGAAACATTTAAAACCACCAAGAAAGAAAAGTCCATTTGCCAGCTACTAGGATGACTGAGAAACTTCATAAACCCATAATTGAAAAGGCCTTCCCAATAAAATGATCAACCATTGCACTTTGTAGGGCAAAGACATCTAGACATTTAAGGGCATCAAAAGATTATCTTAAAAGTTCTAGTTTGAAGGCTAATTTAACCCTATTCATTTGGGATCTTTGGTATTAATCAGCACTTTTAACAGATTTGGAAAAAAGATGGGACGTCCTTACGGATGACAAAGCAGTGGCATCCCACTGTTTTTGAAGTCCTCTAGATCAGGGGTGTCAAACTGCCGGCCCATGGGCCAGACGCGTCATCTGGAAGCCGCGCCCACCCCATTGCCGGCAATGGCAAAACCATCCCGATACGTTGCAGGACATCACATGACATCGCGAGTTTGACATGTTTGTTCTAGATCCTACACCCATAAGGTTACAGGAACTAAACAAGAGATGGAGCCAAAAAAAAAAAGAATAAGAATTTAAAGCAATAACAATTGATGTCTGCTGTTAATCTCAGTGACTGCTCTTTTAGCTAGAAATATACAGAGTGAGCCCGCAAAACAATGGCACCACAATTCCAATCATTTCCCACAAGACAAAAGATTCCTCAGTTTCTATATAACATCTGGACTTGCAGTTCCACACCTGGGTGTTTGTGGAACTGGAATTTTTATATGGCTTTGAGCCAGCCGTGAGAGAGAGAGAGAGATACTTCATCCACCTGTGAGAGTTAATCATGGAAGAAAGACAAAATGAATCTGCTTTTCCAATTTTTAAAAGTGTACCTGAGAGAGCATCCTCAGTTTGATTGTCTCTGGCCACTGCCTCTTTAGGGCTAGATTTTGACTTCCCTATGACTCTTATATATCTTTGGGAATGAGCCTTTTGTCCATTCACTACTTTCATCATAATACATCTAACCATGGCATTGATAAACTCTCCAGTAATAACAGGCAATTTAAGGGAATAGATCAGGGGTCTTCAAACTTGACCCTTTTATGACTTGTGGTCTTCAACTTCCAGGCACGCTGGCTGAGGAATTCTGGGAGTTGAAGACCACAAGTCATAAAAGCGCCAAGTTTGAAGACCCTTGGAATAGATGCACAATGATAATTAAATACTGAATATTTCAGCAAAGCTGCAAACCTAAACATTGAGAGTTGACAATTTGGTGCTCTTCCAGTGTTTGGGATTTCCATTGTCACCAAGTATAGATAAC